TGCAACACTAAACAGTCAAACTAGGCTCAGCATTTTTAATACAGAGACCTCAACCTGCCTAGTACCAGGCCAAATACACCATTAAAAATCTTTTTAACCTTTTATTAAAGATACAGAAAAAGTCAAAACAGTTAAAGCATTTGAAATGTATGTAATATATTAAGCCTTTCATTTTAACAATATCCCTTGTTCTCTTTCCCTTTGGCTGTAGAGTGTTTGTATAAGGACTCTGCCCACCCCCATTTTTGACTGTCTTTTAGATGATTTTAAAGATGGTAATAACTTGTCCTTTTGGGGGGAATAGAGAAAATTAGTTGAGAAGGGCTGGAGCTACAGTTAGTTTTAAAGTCTGATTCTGTTTCCTTGCAAACAAGACAGATACACACTAAAAGGGAGAGAAAAGAACAGTACAGAGAGAAAATGCAGCTTCTGTCTCTAGTGCTGAATTTTACTTACAGCCCTGCTGCTGGAGAAACACAGGCCCAGTACGTGGCACACCACTCCAAGGCCTGGCAAACTTGTACCAGCATCAGGCTTTGCTTTTAGCTGCCTCTCTGATGGCAGGCTCACAGCACTGTTGCAAAAGTGGCAGTCTTGGCAGGCTAAGAAAGACTCTTAGCAAAAGGAAATGTCATCTGTGTACATCTCAAAATCAGGACATTGAAGGGCCAGTGGTGTCCCGAAGGATCCTGAGGTCCCAGGAGATGATGTGAGTGGAAGCCATGATATGAAGCTTGCTCCCTTTAGTTCACCCATCTCAATCCTCCCCCAAAGTCTTTTTTTTTTTAAGGCCCTCAAAAGTCAAGTAATGAGCGAACTAGCCCATCTTCTCATTGGGCCTAATTTCTGACACAAGTTTGTCTGTTTGATTTCCAGTCCTACACTTTTTTGTTTACCAGACATATCAACATCGTCCAAACAAAAAGGCCTTCTGCTATAAATCAGCGACTAATTCATCTGTCTTAATTTTTGCTGACTCTTTTAAGCAATTTTATGTAACAGGCTGAGTTGGACTTTCATTATCTTTTCCTGTCAACACTTACTGTTAGAGGTGATTGGATCATTTTATAAACTTTTAAGCACACAAGTGGGGTAGGTCTTTCAGGCCTCAGTTATTACAACAGAGGCAGCACATCACATGATAGCAGTGAGGACCCACAGGCACGGCACAGTGGTAAGTTTTTGCCTACAAGCCGGTCTGTTTCCCAGAGAGGAAGCAGCAGGAAATAGACAGAACCTCAACCGCATCATCATGTGTGTGCTTGGTGTTTGGTTTCAGTTGAAAGGAGGCAAGGCTATTCCACGGAGGGAACAGAGCTGCAGAAACAGCTGGAAGCAGAGCTCCAACACATCCGACAGCAAATGCAGCATTACCACGATAGCAAGCAGGAGCTCAAGTACGTAGTGAAGTCCCCTTTAGCCAGCCTCATTGAGTGCTCTTAATCCAGCGTTGCATTTCTATATGGAAGTGCAGTTCTGCTCTGAAAAGTAACATCCTTATTCAGTAGATCTGTCTCCTAGGAGTTACATCTGCTGACCTAAGAGAATAAGAGTTGTGGGTTTTTTGTTTACTCCTATTAGACCTGTACTGCCAATACAGCTTGGAGGGAGTTACCTTTTTGTGCATCCTTGGCAATTGTTTACTGTTATCTGTGGCAACCACTGAAGGAAGTGTAGCCATACCGGTGTCACTGAGGGCATAATCTGAAATCAGTGAGTTGAACTGGTATAACCGAGTCAGAATGTCGTCTTCAGACTCTCCTCCTCCTAAATTCAGACTCATAGTAAAGACCCCAGCTTGGCTCTCAGATCCCAGCCTGATTTTGTAGAATAGGCAGTTAGAAAAACGTTGATGTGAGTAGTTAGACACAAACCTGTAACCCTAAGTGGGATTGTAGTCACATTTCAGAGTGGAACAGGACTTTAAGGGGGAACCTACTGGCATGGAAAGCAGCAGCAGTGGACCAAAAGTAGGAGAGGAACACCCAACCTTTCTTGTTTTCTCCAGGGACCCTTTCTCACCATTTTCCTGCTAACATCCAGAGCCCAAAGACTGGAAAATGGGTCCCTTATATGGCAGGGGTGAAGCCAGTTTTTCCTATGGTGGGTCTGATGGTGCCTAATGTTAAAATAAGTTTCAGGACTATTCTAAAACTGGCTCTTACAACCCAGCTTCCCGCTAATATGCTGTGGCTTGGGTTTCATCCCTAGGTACTTATATCTCCCACCTGGCAGCCAGGCATTGCATGTTTACTGCTAAACGGCACTGTAAACGCAGTCTCCTTTAGAAAAATCTAGAAAGATCAGACACACTGAACTCCTTCCCATCAATGTTTGCTGGTAGTGAGTGTCCTGGACATCTACAACTATTGATGCAAATGAGTTAAATGCACAATAAGCCTTCCGTGTCTCACCCTAGCTTGCTGTGATCCCATTCAGAACAGGCACCATTTAACCTGTTCCCTCAGGTCATGCCGGCGGCAGGCACGCATTCTGCACAAGTGGCTAGAAATGAGTACCGTGGGCACTGGGGCAGTGGAGCAAGATGTTGCGCAGCAAGTTCAAGAAGAGCTGGATCAGGTATGTGGACAAGTAGTGGTGTGAAGGCCAGTCCCACACAGTTACTGAGTAAAAATTATGACATATGGTACCGCAAAAACACATGGAACCTGTCCTGAACGCATTTAGTCTAATTTGGATGATTGTGAAACAAAGGCTGAAGGCACGAGGAGGCATTAGTGGGAGATTAGTAACACCAGGATGGGTAAACTGTTCCAAGCAAAGGTGCTAGTGAGAAACAGGGCACAAAGAGTAGAATTAGCTACTAAAGGGGATAATGAACAAAGTCGATTAAACTATTCACATTTTTCTCACCACACCACAGCTGCTCAAGGAGTAACCCAGTCCTGTCCCTTGATACTTTCCTATTTAAGTGGGGTAGTGTGAAAGCTGTTCAACCAAACAGCGTCAGAACGCTTACAGACTCAACTTGCTGGAATGAATCATTCCTGACTTTACTAATCATTTAGCCCGTTCCTCTTCCCTTCATTTTCTCTTGTAGTTGGAGGTGCAGATCAACGCTCTCACCAAAGTGCTGCTAGAAGGGAGACATTGTCTGCAGAGCTACATCACCCGTGTGGAGGACATTCGCACTGCTTTGGAGATGTAACAAGTCTAAAACCTCTGAATGGTTGTTCATGCTCAGTGGTAGAATGGGGTGGCTGGCTGGTCAATCTTTGATTATGTGCTTTTGATGTCAGAGAGGACATACACCTAACGTACGCAATCTCTAAATTTGTGAAGGGAAGTAAACCAAACTGCTCTACCAATTAAATGGGTATTTCCTTTTGCTGCATGCATATGGGAGACATTGCCTCATTTATTTACCATAGTTGTGATAAGAAACAGGACACACTGCTGTGCAGCTCAAAGCTGCACTCATCACAGTCCTTAGCTAAGTATTCATAGAGCCCATCACTATAGTATCTATTTAAACTCCCCTGCTTATTAAGAAGCTAAACAATGCCGATAAGACTTTTATTTTAAAATGTTTGAAATTAAGAGTTAATGTTCATAAATCATACAGTGTGACATACAGAAATACTGTTAGTGTTCCAGTTGAAAAATTAAATGGATTCTCTCTGCAGGAGAAAGTTACAGCATTGCCAGTATTCTCCAGAAACCCTGCTTCTACTTCCTCTGATCAGTGGGTAAAACATTCCTGCTAGCCAGCCAAGTTTCCACAGTGCTAAGACCATTACAAAAAGAGCTGACCTGGTGCAGAATGATCTGTCTCTGATACATTCATATTAAAGAGAACAGTAGCAACTTCTCTCATCCCGTTAGGCGAACTGGGTGCTCAGATACTGTGACTGCTGAGGAGTGAGGAATTTAAAGCTTAAAGTTGTTTTGGCCACAACTAAGACAAAAGGCCTCAGTGGAGGAAGAGATTTAGTCTTCCTTCCTCTAACCCATTGCAACAGGCTGTTCTGTTTACAGAGCCTCTAGCACCTGCAGGGTAATTAGTCATAGCTTTAACCCTAAGGGCTGATGATGTCTGCATGCATTTCGCATCAAGTTTTTTAGAAATTCATGCCTAGCTGGAATAAGAACATTGTGATGCACAATACACAAGTTCTGAACTTCCTAGCACTAAGGGGCTGAACAAAGTGTGTGTGGGGGGGGGGAGAGGGGAAAGAGTTAAGAGCCATTTTAAGCAGCCCCCATTTAATATGAGGAAATGCTGACTCTTGGAGCCAAAGGATTAGTTCTCTCCTATTTGGCCCTGTCTAGGTCAATGTAATCAAGCTCATACTATGAACCTTTGGCAGGCTATATTACCAGACACTGAGCATGTCTTTTCTTCCTTCCTGACAAGTTAAGCTGGCTTGGCCAGCTGTACACACTTGATTCTGTTTTCTCCAGCACATCCAGGGGAGACAGACTTTCCTTTACAGGATCAAAGGTAGACCATGCTCAGTCTCATTTTTAATTCATTCTAAAAGTTTGTTTCAGAAGATCCCCTTGGAACTGCAGGCAGATCTTTAAAGAAAACACCAGCTCCCCTGATGAAGATCCACACACAAGGCTCAAGCTGGGAAAGAGTAGATGATCTCACAGGAAGATGGGAGGGCCAGGTTTGGTGATAAGCTAGTCCATTCCTTCAAGCTCAGGGTGTCCCATTCACTTACAGGCAATAGACTTCCTTGGCTCAAAATAGAATTTATTCAGTAAGAACAAACAATACATTGCAGAAGTGAGTTGCTCTCAACCCTTTTGGCACCAGTTGCTGTTAATCCCATTATTGGTAATGCGAAGCTTAAAACTCCTATTCTTAGTGTCATGTTCCATACATTAATGAAGGAGGTTGTTACTATTTCCATCTAACCCTTCTTGGCATGAATTAACAGAGACTAAAATTGCTGCAGGATGAAGCTAGAGCACTCAGCCCCAGCTTCTCTCTACCAGCTATGAGTGCAAAAGAAAAATGGAAGTTTGGCTTTTTTTTTTTTGTAAGTTAAACAAATATTTGCAAGTCCACTGAAGGATAGAAAAGCAAGTTAGTGCACATGGGGAGCAAGCTTGGATTGCCCCAAAGGTCCATAATGGTTTTTAATACACAGTCAGTGCCCATGGCATTTCACTCCGTGCACTAAATTGTTTTGTACAGGGAGAAATTCCCACATCAAGACCTCAATGTCAGCCGCTGAAGGTTATGACACAACACAATAAGCAGCAGCATCTGTACAGCAGAAGGGGAAACATACTTTGGCTGCATCCCCACTGCAATGGAGAAGGAGTTCTGTATTGATGGAAACTCCCCTATGCAATGAGAAGGGAGCAGACTCCTTAACCACTTGTTACTGTTATGTCACAAGATTAATCTCTCAGTAGTTTTTGGGTGACTGAGGAGAGTAATTACCACTCAGACAAAAAATCCTTAAGGCCTGGAATGGCAAAAATAAAACTATGGATTGGGAGAAGAATATGCAACAGTTTGACTGCTGCAAGCTAAAAAAATACACTTTTTTCAAAAAGATGACAAGTTCAACCACATGGAATGTAGACACAGTGTTTTCAGGTTTAAAATACAGTGCAAAGTCCAGTTTTAAAGGGACAATAACAGGTTAAAAGGCATTTAAAAATTAGTTTCCATACCTGTTACCAGTATGTTATTAAACAGAATTTGAGTCTAATTTACTGGTTTCAGCACTGATGTCATTAATTTACATTGTGCATTTCACCTAGGTTGGACAATGAAAGTAAGACTAGGCAATTTGGCTTCTATACTTTGATGTCATGTTTGCATTAGACACTTCTGAGGACTGCAAGTTTGAAAACCACATTTTACAGAACTGAAACCTTGGGTCTAGGTCAACCTATCAGTGTCCCTTTAAAGGTAGCTAATCTCTCTGCCTTCACCCCTCCCCGATAGGGACCTACCGGCTCTGTATGAATGTAACTAGTTTGCAACACATTGAAGGGGAGAGTGCGAAAGACTGTAGGCACAGGATAGGATAGAAACCACCCTGGTCAACATTCTTAAAGGCATCTGTACCTGATATGTATATGGATCATCTGATTATTTTACTGCTCTCAGCATGGGTATGTGATATAGGGCACATACTCCTACCCCAGTTTTACACAGTAGTGTTGTTGAATATTTTCCTCACCCAGGTCCTGCTGAGTGATATTTTCCATTACTGAACCATTTTTCTTGGAAGTTTGAGTTCCTTTGTATATAAAATCCTCTTGTAGTTTCTAAAGGGACCCCAGAGCCTCTCCAAAGCGGATTTTCTGTCCAGGTTTGAGATGGAAGTTGAAGTCCTTGGGTGCCTCGAAGATCAGAACAATGGTCGAGCCCAGGTTAAACTCCCCTAAATGTTCTCCTTTCCTCATGGGGATGCCCTCCTTGTTATTGTTGGTTATGAAGCTGAAGTCATTGTAAGAGCCTTTGGAGTAACAGGGGCTGTTAGTACGCAAATCCTGCAGAGAGACGAGAGAAAGGAATATGATTTGTGAATTTTAGTATGCGCTGGGCTACAGTTTCAAATAGTAACATGCAACAGTGCTAAATACAAGGTGGAAGAAAAGATCTGTACAGCAGACACCCCCTTCACATCCTGGTCCTAGACTACATTAATCTAATGAACAGTAGTGCCAACTGAGTAATACTTGGTAGAAATCTTCTCTGTTTTAACTTTAGCTTGCTATTAGTTATGAGGAAATCAAATAATTAACCAGCTATGCCTTGTTTCCTCACATGAGTTATATAGTACCACTGACTCATTAGCAAAGTGAGACTTCAAAGGCAGGATTCCTACTCACCCGGTCGAAGTAGATGCGGATGGAGCCAACATTTGTAGCTCCTACCGCTGTTAGGGAGAAAAAGCCATGTTTCCAATCACCACTAAGTACAACCCGCTCATTATGGCAGAAGAGTTCCTTGATCCAGCGGGCAACACCAGGATTCACAGACATCAGGGAGCCTGTAGTAAACAGGAAGAGCAAGATGAAGTATTCTTTGTTCTTGAAGCAGTATTTTGATAGATTTAAGGCACAATAGTTTAGAGACCAACAAAAAAGGCCAGATTAAAGCTCATTTCTAAGAAGTGAGACAAATACTAAGTATTACCAAGAATATGAAGGATCAGAAGATGCACAGAGGTTCTATTGCACTGTGCACAGCAAGTAAAGCCTTCAGCTGGGCAGTAGCAAAAATAGAACTGTCACTAAGGGTATGTCTACACTGCAGCTGGGAGTGGGCTTTCTAGCCCAGCTTCAGGCTCCACTGTAGATATACTAGGTGGGGAGCAGATAACACATGAGTGTTCTTTAGCTCATAGAGCTGCTCTATCATCCAGCATGTCCGAGGTCCTGCCACATCCCCTAGAAACAACAGGAGCTGAATGAAGGGAAAATATTTATGCCAGAAACTAAGGCATATTAACACCCCTCCACAAATGATGTATCAACCTAGTTAATTTTTGCCCTGGGCTCAGACCACAGCATTTCACCCTAATGCCATCTCTCAGAGTTCACAGCATCACCATTACATGCCCTGAAAACATTGCTATCACCAAACAGGCAAGGAGGAGGAACCCAGCTACCTAATGAACTCAAAACAGAATAAGCCTCTTTCTGAGCGCTCCACAGGAGCTGACTAAAATCTGACTACACATAACGGCTCTACCTCTAAAGTCTAAGGACACAGACAAAAGTCTTTATATCTAAGGGATGAGCTCATTGGGCTGCCTTGCCAAAGCTATAGGGAAAAAAACCCCAAAACCACCCCAGCCAACCCCGCCAGTCTCTCAAATGCCCTTTGCAATGTGTGAAGAAGTGGTTCTGTAGCACTGCAGATCTGAGTCACCATAGCTGGCCAGATGTGAACATGAAGGATTAATAAATGGATCTAGGATCCCGAAAGAAAATGAATCACAATAGGAACCTTAAAGGTTTCCACCCTGTCACACAATATAGGGGAGCACACAGTGCATTGGAATGTTTCATTAGAGCCTGTACTCCTATGCACATTGCTCTATTACAATGGATCTCCTGGCAGCATTTCCCTAAGAAACCCCTGGCTTAAAGGGTTTACTCAGCCACAAACCTTAGCTTCACGCTGAAGCTTGGCAGATCAACTTTCTTGCCATGTCTTGTCTCTCTCTCACACATAGCATCTGAAACCGAAACCAAGTCCAACTCCTCTCTTTGTTCCTAGGTAATTAAAAAAATGAATTTCCATCTGCTGGACTAAGGAGCATGACTGTCTGCGAAGGAGAGGGCAAAACTCCATAACCCCAATTCAAATCAAGTGATTGTGCTTAGTGTCATCCTCTGCGTCTCTGATGTGCAGGGTTATCCACAACAATCAGATGCCCCTCTAGGGCATCCTCTCTTTTACCAGCAACAGGGCAGGTTACTGTGGTGGGTGGGGAATGCCCTTGTTCCCTCTCAAGATGCTGACTGGCATTCTTCAAGCTCTTAACAGCCATTTCAGTAAAGTCTGCTGGAAACAGATCTGGGTCTCCCTACACCTCTGTGTTTAGTTGGGAGACCAAGTTATTCATCTTCAACATTGATTATTTGAGTTAAATTGGTAGACTACTAAGCCCTGAAATTCATTAGCACAGTATTCAGGATTTTGGGGAAGCATGATCCTCGGTGTGTTTTTTATGACAAACTGCTGCCCTCTGATTCTCTAGCACATCACAATTCAAGTGCTCTGACTGAGGCATCTCTCAGTAACCCTCCTGCTTTGACACCTGCTCTGTTTCCCCTTCTTATTTATGGAAGTAGAATCTACCTGGGAAGTGGCGTCTGTGCGACACTCTCCAGTCGGTGGGTGAGTGGAAGCAGTGATAGTCCCCAGGCGCCAGGTAGATGACACAGTGATAGAGCTCGTTCCCCTCCTTTGTGACTAGCTGGTTCTGCAATGAGCTGCAGGATGAGGCTGCAGTGGAACAGCAGAAGACAAAAGGGGTTAAAAGGAACAAACAGAATCTGTGAGAGAACGTGTTGTGTGACAAGTCTTCAACGGGAAACGTGCTACTGTGATGCTCAGAAAACCAATGTTAACAGCAGGTCACTAAATACAGCCCACACAGTGACTCCGGGGGCAGTCACTGGCAAGAGAGCTTACATGGATGAATCCGCAACAGAATTCCAAACATGTAATCACCCTCAGTGAACACATTGGTGGGGACCATGCAAATCCCTTTCAGGGTACGTGGTAAGGAGAGGAGTCAGCCTTAGAATTAATTCCTTGAGTGTCCAGTGCTGAGCATGCTCTCAGGCCGCACCTTCTGCCACTATAAACCAACCATCCTCTCACTTGTGTTATTAACAACCCTTAGGTTATTAAAACAGGGAGAATGACAGAAATCCAATGTACTTCTCACTACTGATGCTGTTCACTTTTCCACTTCCCTCGGCTTGGACAGTGAAATCAGACTTGTCAGTGTTTGGGTTGTATAAATGCTGCAGGAGAAGGCTTCTGGCAAATGTTGTAAATTTGATTTTATAAAAAAAAAAAAAAAAATCTACATTTTACGCCAAGCTGAGTTGACAGGTTCCTTAACCCCTAAGATTTCATGTAAACTGGAGGCCGATACTTGGATCATAGAGGGGGATACAGAGCATGCAGTGGGAGGGATTTGCCTGGTCAATTTGTCCTTTGCCTGCTCCCTAGTACTTCGGGGACAATTCAAGCTGACGGCATGTCCCTCTTCAAAGGCCCACTGTGGCTACAGGAAGCTTTGAAAGGTAGTGCTTCAAGGCCAGGAATCAGCATTTTAAAAAGCTTGTGTCCCTTTAACACACAGCTAGGTTTTAAACATCTTTGAAGTCCAAGCCCAGAAGAATCCAAAGAACTTTAAAGAGCCCCAGCTTCCCCAGACAAAGCAGCAGGGGCTTGAGACGGAGTCTCATAGAACACAAATAATTTGTCTGAAAAGACACCTCAGAACTATTGGGGTGCTGACCGAAGCTGCGGTAATGTCCCAGCTTACAAAATGCTTTCGTTGCATTTGCATATACATTACAAAAACAACCCTGCAGCTTTCAAAAAGCGCTTCTTTCTGTGGCGTATTGCCCATACACAGGTTTAACAAAAGATCTTGACACCCAAACCAAGAGCCTTGAAGACAGAGCTCTATCTTCACAGAGCAGGCACAGCAAAGGCAGTGACAATACAAACTTCCTCACAGTGCCTCAGCCCTGACCTGAAAGGCAGACCTCTAGGCATGAGAGCAGAGATCAGTCTCCAGGCGGGAGTGTGGGGGGCTGCTGCTGCTGCATAAATTGGGTCTAATAGAGTAGTTCCTACAGCTTCAGTTTTTGCTAGCCAAACATCTGGGCATGTTTCAGCCTCCAGCAGGAGCAGCCTCATTATGGTCACAGACCTTGACATTACCCAGAATCCACCCAAGATAACCATACACTTGAGGGAACTAAAAAGTTCAAATGTAGAGGAAAGGGCTGAATCAGAGGCTGAGGCTGCAAGAGAGGGACAGGCTACTAAGGAGATTGGGGAATCCAACATTACACCCCACATGTTATTCCTCAGTTTGAGCTATAATGAAGCAGAGTTGCCTGTGCTGATGGCAAAGATTTGAGAGCAGATAACTATGATTCACCCCCTCCCTGCAATTACTGGGAACAGTGAAATGACAGAAACAGGCTAGGAGGCAACTTACTTTGGCTAAACTGCATGTCTTCTGTGCTGGTGCACGGCCCCAGGAAGGACTCCAGCGAGTAGGTGACACCCTTCACCTGTTCCACTTCGCAGTTTTTCACTTGTCCAAAGTTCAGAATCTTTCCATCTGAGGGACTGATCTACAGGGAACAAAAAAAGTAAAATGCAGTGAAAAATCCATGCATCCCTCACGCTTAGCCATCAGAAACACAAGTCCACTGATCATTTGAACCCCAAAATTTCACATCTCTTCCCCTTTATATAACCTCTCCCCCCCACACAGGGATAAGCCTAGCCTCTTTTTGTTTCGTACCTTTGATATTTTCATAGACCAGAAAGGCAAATAGGAAGGCCCATAAGTGAGATCCAGAAAGACCATCATTTGTTCACAGTGAATGCCAATGCTGTGACCACTAAAGGGACTTACAAGTTTCTCTTTCAATGAGAGTGCCTGGTCTAGTCCTGTGCCTCGAATAAGTCAGGCTGGACTTTTACCCACTCCAACCAAGTAGTTCAGTTAGGGCCATGATCTGTTGCCATACAGCCAGGCTGGATATGGGTGTAACCAAGAGCAACAACCCAGACAGAAAAGGGGTGAGTGATAGACCCACAACTCCACCCAGGCCAGCCCAATATTCGGAGTTTTGGCCTACAGACATAGCACACATTCCAAGGTGAGGGATGGGGACATTTACACATCAATGTGTAGCTCCACTAGAACAGAATAAACATTGCAAACCCCTCGTTCCCTCCTCACCACACTGTGATAGCAGCAGACTGGCCGGGACTGGGGCTTCAGCTTCCTGCGGAAGAACTCGCTGAGGTTTCTATAGTGATGAAGATCTTCGACAGCTGCTTCCTTCATGTTCACTCCAAATGTCCAGATATACAGGCTGTAGACAGGCTTCCGGAGCCAGGTGGGCAGCTCGACCTGGTTCAATCGACCCCAGGCTCGTGAAAGCAGTCGTGTTGGTACCGATTTGTACAGAGAAACCTAGAGAGAAAGGAATTACACCATGCTATTTCTGTTCTTTCCACTGCTCAGCCCTTCTTCCCTTCGCTCCCAAAATGGAAGAATCCAATTCATTCCTACTGTGACTCCCTTCACTTCAGTGGAGTTACACCAAGGTTCTGGTCTTGTCAATAAAACAAGACCAGAACCTTACCCTCCATGCCCCCATGCTGATGTGTAGGGATGGGGGACCAGATGGAGCTCAATGTAAACCCTTACAACAAAAGTAAAGCCAATTAATTTGGATGATTCATCTTTTCTGAGAAAGATAAAAAATCCATTTTGTCAGTATAATTTCTGTTGTTGTTTTTGTTGCCTTAAGGCAAATAATAAAAGCACAAACCCATTCTTCCAATCGCAGCACAGAAGCCCTGCCAGCCAGGTACAGTGGAGGGCAGCTACAATGCATGCACCCTCTTCCCCTTGTATGCTGAAGCTTCATATGAGAGTTAGTGGAAACTGCTCCCAGGAGGCTCACAGAGAAGCAGTGCATTTGGGACATTCTATTATAGCACTAATTGGAGGCACTGAAATATTACTAATATATTTATTTTTTTGAACAACCCAAAGAAAACTGACTTAGAAATACATTTCTGTCTGCATTTCAATGCCTAGTGTGTTGCTTCTCCCAAGCCCATCTATTTCTGGAATTATAAAGTGCCTTCTCTACACATAAAAGGTGCACTGCTTTTAACTATACTGGTATAATTAAAGCAATACAACTCCTCTGGTGTGGACACAGTTACACTGTGCTTATACCTGTGTCGCTTACCATAAAGACGAATAAACTATATCCATATATTGCACCTTTCTACTGGCATAACTGTGCCCGCACGAGGGCTTATACCAGTGTAACTATAGTGGTCAAAGAAACAAAAAAATCACACCGCAAATGATAGTTTTATCAGTACAAGAACTGCGTGTACACCAAGCCTTAGTGTTTGGGCAATTCCAAAAAATTCACTCACCTGTTGTTTGTGGTACTTGGTATCACCCACACAGCTCATGAGAGCATGTTGTAATCCCAAAGATATTTCAGAGGGCTCCAGCCTTCCTCTAAGTTTTACACAGGAAGCTGTTTTCTGCAAACCTCTGGTAAAAGTTTGCAGAACAGGGTGGCTGGCTAAATCCAACTCTGTGAGTAAAAGGGTTCTCTCATTCCTTTCATTAGAGAAAGAGGCACTATTTATTCTCTACTCTATGGGTATCCCTCAATGTTAAGACCTGGAGAATGTAGCAATAAATACGAATAGATTCCTCTGGAGAGCTAGTCCTAGCCTGTTTGTTCTATTAAGCAAATTTATTTCACCTGCTAATGGATGATACTCCACTCAACTCACCTTCACTCAGACCAGTCCAGGATTCTGAGTTTTGACTGTGCTATGGATGATGCTTACAAATAAAATCCAACCATTTGAGAGAGAGAAAAAGAGAGAGAGAGAGATTGCCAGCTTAATCTTACTTCAGACTGAAACGTTTTAAACCAACTATTGTTACAGGTAACACTTTAGACCATGACAATAGAAGGATGAGAGAGAAATATTGCTCTGTTTTTTCTCATGTTTACACTTTACACATTTGACAGGCCTTGGACAGAGTCAGTTTCATGGTATCCCTGTAGAAACAGTTTCACCTATTTGTGTGGTTTTCCCACAGTTACAGAAGAGATTAAAATATATATATATATGAAAATGTGATTGCAAAACCGCAAAAATTGGCAAGACATCGCCTGAAAATACATACTTCAATTTTGCAAGTGATGGGGTTTCAAGTTGATAGTCTCTGTTTAATGCAATAGCTGTTGAAATGGCATCCTCTCAAGAGCGGGCACATTTGTATAAGTTTGCAGTAACAATGTCTAGATGATGTTCGCACACTGTAATCAGATGCGTGCAGGTCCATGTACTAAAACTAAATTTCATAGTTTGAGTCAGGGATGCCTGCATTAGTACATCCTCTGGGCAGTCAGGATTCCAGGCACCCAAGAAGGAATTGAACAGCCAACCATTCTCACACAAAAATTGCAGCAAAGGAGAGACTACATGAATGTGTCCGTGAAAAGGGATGGAGAAGAGGCTTGGTCTGCCTTAGCCCTAGTCCTGATATTTGTGGGTTTTACTGTCTGAATGAATGCAGCGGTTTCCATTGATTCCCCTTGTTTGTTAGGGGATCATACACAAATTCTATGCTCCTAAAAAATCATCATCTGTCTCTGAAAGGAGAATTACATAATCCCTAAAGCTTCACCACGAAGAAAAAAAACAGACAGTTGTGGTAGAGGAAGGTATGAACTGCAGTTCTGCTTTAATATCAGCCATCAGCACCATGCTGTCTGTCCCTCCCCCTGCTGCCAGCCTCCCTCCATTATAATAGAACATTTGCTCACAGGGTTGTTACAAAGTAGAGACCTGCTCACACTTACCCTGCTCATAGGCCTCCATCCCACTCTGGTCAAGGGTTTAAGAGCACCGAAAGGCAGAAGATAATAGAGAATAGTCAGAGGCCAAGAACGGAGTTTCAGAGCAGGCCTAGACATACAGCTCAGCTGGCCCAACCTCCGCCTCAGGGCCAGCTGGGGGAATTGCAACCTGTAGGATCACACACACACACAAGAGGGTCAGCCAACTCAGCCTCAGAAACACCAGCTCCTGACAGAGTTTGTTCAATGCTTGTCAGTGATTCTGCAACTCCCTGCTCCGTGACTTTGGTTCAAACCTGCTCCTTTCCCAAAATACAGGACCAGGCCACTTCAAAAATGAATATGAGCTGCCCAGGGCCTGGGGTTCATGGGCACAGGACAACTTCCATTACTCATGCCTACTGGCAAATTAATTAATGGCAAAACTTTTTGCATTAAACAAAGTCTGAGATAAGGTGAAAACAAGGCTGCAACTGGTCCAGCCAGCTAACGCTAGAACATACACAATATGTTATGGAACACCAAAAGGGGGAAAACCCAGGAATTTATTCTTCTGGTGTTTGAAAGAAGTAGCTACTTGAGAGGAAACATTTGCCTGTACCCTCTCCTGCTCTTGGAGAGTTAGAGTGATCAGCACAGTAAAGCACTTTGAAAGCTAGAATTCTAGGAATAAAATCCCTATTTAGGGCAAAAGTGTTAGGCAAGTGCTAAGGAAAGAACAGATGATATTCCAGTGAAACAAACAGCCACAAACCCAGGGCAATGTCGTCTCTGGCTCCAGGATTTCAACAAGGTCTGGCATTATGGGAATCCTGCATTTCAGAAGTTCCATCTACAGTGCTGTTCCTACATGCAACAGTAGGATGAAACTGACCTAATCCTAGGCTCTCATTCTGTTGGGGGAGAGACAGCTGCAGTACCATAAGCACAATGTGCTGCTGCTAAGGGAAAGGGAAGGGTATATATTTGCTTCTCTCTCCTGCCTGTCTTTAGCAGCAGCAGCAAGAGGGAATCACGCCTGTACCTCCTGGTCTCTTCAGGTGAGCCCCAGAAACAGGCAGCAGCAGAAGCGGTCAACATCAGATAGTACCCAGCTGGCCGAACCCTGACTGTATTGTGTCTGTCCTACAAAGGATCACAAAAGCCATTGGGGACAAACTGAAGTACTCCTGCAGCGGGCCTGCTAGCAGTTGGTTCCATCTGGCCAGCTATTTAACACTTCAGAGACAAACAGAAGTGGGATTTGTGAGTTAGCTATTTGGGCAGTGTGCACTGAGGTCAAAAGGCACCTTTCAGGGTTTACATTCCTTATTGGGCACCTCAATCTTAGACAGACGATACAAGAACTAAAACACACATACTGCTAGGGTAGCAGGGTAGTTACTATCTATGGCCCATTCAAACTTTGGCCTCTTAAGCAACTGTGTTTAGGTGGGGTTTTTTGTGAAGTAGATGCCTGAATTGAGAACAAACTCATTTCACATAAAGAGCCATCAGGTGGCTGACAGACTATGACTTGTGGTCATTACCAGCCTGAACCAGAACTGAACCAGTGACTCAGCATGGAAAAGCTCCACACCCCATTCCTGTTTCCATGAGACATCTCATTGCTCCAGTTTATGCTGTTTGAGTCTTCCCTGGGCAAACTCTCTTATTCCTTTCTTCCCTTGGGGTCTCCCCAGGGTACCTCATGCTTAGCCTCATTCTCAATACTTCCTGTGTCTCATCATTAGGTTAATATCCACCCGACTCAGGACAAAACATCCAGGCCTGTTTGGCACTGTGCTAACTGCTGGGGAACAATTCTTCTCCCTGCATCTTTGGAGGGGACATAGTGTGCTGAGCAGGATTGTATGTGCATGCTGATTGGAAGGGGAAGGCTCCTGCTACAAGTTATTTTGAAGATCATTCCCATCCCTTGCAGGATGAAAAGATCTGAAGAGTGAGCTGTAGTAACACACTCTACAGTTCTCTCCAAGAGAGAAAGGAGCTGGGAGACTAGAAAGGGCCAACTTGCCCTTTTCAGGACTTGGGTCAAAAATTAAAACATCACCTGAGAAGCTGCTACTGTCACCATGTGGGCTGAAGATGGTGCCTTTGGCTCACCGATTTACTCTGTAGGCTAACGTTACTTCCGCCAAGGCCAGAGAATGACTGTGTGCTGGAGTGCAAGAAAGACCTGAGTAGCTGAAGTATTGTCTCAGCAGCGCTACAGCAGGCCTCAACAGCTTGAGGCAAGACCAGCGCACAGCACAGGAATAAGAGACAACTCACCTGCAGCTCCTCCTCCCTCTCATCCGCCAGGGCCCAAGAGCCTGACAGAGAGATGGCCTCTCCAAGAGTTTCGGAGGACAAGGTACTGCTCTTCCCTCCCATCTCCTTCTCCCTCCCTTCACTGCAGACGATCATGAACCAATCCCTGCAGAGCTGCATCCTGGCAGCTTGCTCTAAAACCCCCTTCCTTCCCACCGTCTTGGCCTGGTTTTAGAGGATTCCCTCTCTAGATTTTTTGCTCTCCCATTGATTAAAAGGGGACCAGAAGAGAAAGGAAACCTCATCATTTCTCTTGTTGTACAGCAGCAACCCCTCCCTTGCCAATTCAGCGCATTCGGAGATTTATAGTAATTAGGCCAAACAAAGGCTTTGCAGATGGTGGTCACTCCTTCTGCCCATCTACCCTCCCTTCAGTCGCCATCCTGCAAAGCAGAAAGCACCAAACAGTACCTGAAACGGGCTCTCCTATTTGGTGTGCCCCCGGCAGAGCCAGCTGGGCCTGGACTCTCCAGTTGCGGGTGCTGCTCCCCGGCACAGCTGCCGCTGTTCCCTGAACGTAGCCGTCGGACATGAATTTTAACTTTGCGGAGGTTGTAGCAAGAGGGAGGAGGGTTAGATAAAGCTTTACAGCATCTCACCATTTCCCTGTGTGCAGATCTGGTCCCTGCAGGGTGTTTGACTGACACATCATCAGGATGGCGGTCGGTCGTAAGTCTCAGTCTCTCTCTTTTTTCCTCTACCTCCCCTTCCCTTGCTCGCTTCGGCACAGGAGGGAGGACACGACGTCACAGCTCCTAATTCCCCCGCTGGTTTGTCTCCGGCTTCCCTCTCTGTCTTTCCCACTTGCAACTCGGCTACGAGGTTCCCAGCTATTGCAAACAAACAGGCATTGTGTCACACTTCAGCAACCCTCTGCAAAAGCAGCTTTGTGCGAGACAAAAGCAACCTCTGCCTACAAGCAGCCCCTGCTCCTCTCTAGCCAAGGTTGCCATCGAAGCTCAACTCCCAAACGAACACCCTGCAGTCTCAGGCTGCTAGGAACTAATGCACTATTATCAGAATTGCAGCCGGCTGGCCATGCACAGTTATCCCAAGAGCCAGCCTGAATGCGAGGCTGGGAGGAGGAGGAGGGATGGCGGAGAAGAGGAGGAGGGAGATAACTCATAGCTTCAATTCTGCACTGCAGTAACTGCAGCTAGATCAGTTCTGGGCTACTGAGCAAGCAGATGTATATGCAAACACTCACTCTGCCAGAAAACCCTTTCCTTCTCACGCCGTCCAGCCTGGGAACAGAGGAGAGGAAAGGGAGGGAACATCTTTTCTATCTCATACAGTCCAGTTAGAGACCAACACCCATCTCAGGAACACCCTTTCCATCCCACACTGTCCAGCGAGGGAGCAGGCAAAGACAGAAAAAGGGAAAGAACGTTCCTTTATAGATATACATCCCTGCAATGAAACAACAGTTCCAGCGCCAGCTTGAGAAACAGGCTCTGCAGAAGTTCAATAGATGCTTTATACAGTGCGCAGTACTTCAACAATTTTTACATCCAGCAGAACTCAGAAGCCAAACCACCAGTACCATGGGGGCAAGAGGGATTTTTGCAGTCTTGAAGACTGCATGCCCATTTTGTCTGGCACAGCTTTCGGAATATTCATAGGGTGAGAAGTCCTCTTCCATATTGCAAATTATATCTGAAAGCTGTTGACTAAAAACTGGCATTCTTGTGTTTCTTGGCTGCACCTGGATTGCTAATGAGGGAAACTGGCAGCAACAGGAACCCAGAGCCAGAGATCAGAACTGAGCTTACACCTGACTTCTGTGTCAAGTCCAACACCAGAAATATTTTATGGTTCAATATTTAAGCAAAATGGTTAAACACTAATGTTTTAAGTCAAAACTAAGGTAGACAGCAGTTTAGTATCTCCAAAGCATGCCCACCCTACTAGTGCCACAAGTGATGTGGAGTGAGTCAGTAAGGACTTTGCTGCATTAACCCAAGGTTGGATAGGAGGTTATATATTATGCTGAGAGGGAAAAGAGAAAATGGGAGGGAGGGACAACATTTGGAACCACATTTAGTGCCAGCCTGAGAGAATCTTTCAGGAGGAAATTCATTTAATAGAAACGTATTGGAGACAAATTCTTTATCACAGATCTGTTACAAGATTCAGGTATAGATTGATTTTTTGCAACTGTATATTAAAGGGACACTAGTAAATTACAATCTTATTAGTTTTAAAAAGAGTTAAAAGTAATTCCAGGCACTACACCTACCCCTTTTCCCCTCCTGTGATCCCCTGCCAGTTTTTGTGGTTTTATAATCATGCTGTCCTATGTTTTACAATGCTTCTCTCTCTCTTCTGTTGCTATGTGAAATACCCAGACGAAAAGGGGAAATTGACTATATACAGGGAAAGTGTCAAAATTCACAAAGAAAAATCTGGAAAAATAGCCGAAACCTTTCCTCTCTGTCACAGACAGGAATATTAGGAGTTGCTAGCAATAACAACAGGTGCAAATTTTCAACAGAAGTGTGATTTAAATCAACAGTGTCCCTTTAAAAACACTTAATCAGACCAAAGTGGAAATCATTTTCACCACCAAGATCACAAGAAATGCTCAGCATGCATGCAAGTTCCAGAATCTGTGACAAGGGAAAAAATACAGCACTGGTACAGAAAGGCCAGGAGACGAACAGTGCTGTCTAACAAACTTTTTCTCCTCCTCCTCACATTCCAAACATGCAGGGGCTCCTACACACAAGGAGCCTGCACAGGGTTTTCCTCTTTGCTGTGATTTTCATCTTGTTCTCCAAAGGACCCCACCCCCACTTCACATTTACCATGGATGAGGGAAAGGCCAGAGCAAACAAGTTTTATCTGCACTCACCATTTATTCCACTCTTCCTTCAAAAGTATGTGAGGTAAATACACATTTCAGCACAGTCTATTTCAATGGAAACAGCCCAATTAGCTCTCTCCTTTCAAAGAACTTACCACAACCTAGATCAAGGCGGCAGGGGTTTATTTCCCCAAGATTTTACAAAGGAGTGGAGTGAATTGAACAGCCAACCTGCACCCCAGAAGTGAATGAACATTGAAAATATAATTCCATTGTTTAATGTTGATACTACTGTAAATTCAGATAAAGTTCATGGAAAGGGAACATGTGGTGAGGGCTACCCCCTTTGGGGCAAAAACCATGTCACGATAGACTCACCTTCCTAGGTGAAGTTCCCAGGGAGAGAGATGGATTTCAGTGCTATATAAGCCATACTTCTCCATGGCTACACAAAACTCACCTCCTCTAAGTAAGAAGCCTTACATTTCTCTTATCTTCTGTCCTACTGACCCCATTACACTCACCAAGACGCAAATACCGGACTATTACCCATGGATGAGAGCCTGCCCCTCCTCTTGGCTGAGACCTGCTTAAATACTGACATACAAACATACATGGCGAGTTGCCATGGCAGCAGCTACTGCACAGGAGGGATTAAGGATACAGTAGGGTTTGGCTGCTCAGAATTTAAAGATGCCTGCAATGGAAGAAAGGGGAAATGACTGGATCCTGGATCATGCCAACCCTACCCTCAGCCCAAGTGTTCTGAGGAAGGGCGAAGGAAGGGACTGGCCCAACTGAGACTGGGCATCAATTACTGAATCCCCCTCTCTCTGCTGAGGGATGAATGTCACGGATTTACACCTGGACTTCTTCTCAAATCTCAGGACAGTGCTGCAAAGCCCCTCTTACTAGCTTCACTGATGGGCCTCAGAGTTCTCTAACTCTTCTCTATGGGGAGTCTGGGGCGTCAGCCCCAAACCACTCCTACCTCCTTGAACTCATCCAGAATGCATATTAAGTGAATAAAGGAAGTAATGACCATCTGCACTATAAATCCCCTGAGGAGAATTATCTAATAACAGCTAATCTGTCAAACAATGCAACTCCTCTCTGCTCCATCAGTTCATATACGCATCATATCCAGTGACCCCGTTTAATTACTTGCCTTCTTATTATTTCTCCAAGCCCTTCCCTCAGGACTCCAAAAACACTAAGCCTGGGGATTTACAGGAATCAGAGACTGGATTAAACCCACAACTGTACATTAAACTGAAACGACATGAGCCCGCGGGGCTGGGTTTAGAATCATCCAGTCTGGATGCTAGAAGCCTCTCCCTCCCCACTTTCTTCACGTTAACAGTATTGCCATTTAAAATAGATGGTATAACTTAACACATACTGCTGGGCAAAGCTGTATGGTTAAGCATAAGCCATAAAAGTGGAACAAAAGAAAGTATCAAGCAGCAAAGATAGGGGTATTCTGAGACCCACATCACACTATTATACAGAGGAGATCTGCTGATAGTGACAGTATTAGTTTATCATCAATAGTTTAATTCCTTTCCCCTGGCCATAGTCAATATCTTCTGTTTAAACTTATATGTACAAAAAAGTATCATCTCTCTTCCTTCCTCACCAACTTATTATTCTGCAGAAATCCAGCAGGAGAAACAATAGCTTCCTCAACAGCCAATCAATCAGGAGATCCTGCTATTCTAAGAGCATAACAAAAAAGTGCTTCTGGACATTAGGGAAACAACCGTGGATTGGCTATTGTAGAAGTCACATGATTTTTAATGCTGTATATTTCACTCCCCAGATTCCTGCTAGCACCTATGTAAACCTTAACTCTCTTTGTGAGTGTCTAGGCACTGACTGAGAAATGTACCAGATGCCCTGATACAGCAGGTCTTTTTTCCATCTCTAGTTTCAAGGATTCTCTTGCCCATTTTTTATCTCAAGCAGGCTTCCTGTAATTCCCCCTACTAAGAGAAAGGTTTGTGTAATTAGCTTCCTTTAAATGGATAGTTGTACTTCTCAACAAATGGAAATAAATCAGCTTTTTAGAATGGCCATTAAAACATTTGTTTATTCAGCTCTAAAGACTGCACAAAGTTTTTGGTAAACAATACTTGATCTCTTCTCTGGGGCAAGGAAACATGTCTTATCTACTTTCATAAAGCAACATGTACATGTACTCTAAGTATTTTATAATATAGTCATATCTATGGTTCTATACACATATTTAATTTCATATGCTATCTGATAAAACGCCTTTCACACAAGATGTTCATAAAGCCAATTCCCTTCTAGGATACAGACATCTAAAATGGAAGCATATGGAGGGTTGGGAGGAATGGTTGCTTTAGACCTTCCTACTAAAAAGGAAAGCTCTGTTAAGCGCTCTAAAATCCTGAGTTGGAAACTGAACAAAGAAGCTGTGAGGCCTCACATTTGATTCAGAAACCTACATACAAACCTAACTGAACAAATACTTCAGACTGGGGGCTGGGGCTATTTTTAAAAAGGGACTATTAACTCTGTAAGTGTTGGTTCCTCAGATCAGCAGAACTCAGATTTCTAATACACCAATTCCTTTTTCATTTGGCCTGAAAACCCAAGAAAACAGTGACTAAGAATTGGTGGTCTTTGGAAGTCTAAAAGTGCTTACCTTAGCTGTACAGCACTCCTGGCAGCTGCAGAGGCTGGCTCTGAATGAAGCTTGTTTCAGTTCCTTCACAGACTTCTTGTTTTTAATCTACTGAAATGTGACACTGACCTGGCTTTTTTGTTTGGGTTTTCTAAGACAAGTGAACAAAACAATGGAATGTAACCCACATAAGTGTTCCTGACAAATGCACAGAAGACTAGTGCACCAAGAGGGAGAAGAAAACCCTAATCCATGCCCTGCAGAAATCATATGCACTGATGTGTCCACGCCCATCCTATTAGCCCCAAACCATGGTCCTGTTTCCAAGATCAGCTGATTGTGACCTTCCGGTTCTAAACTACTTCTTCCGTTTCCTTGCCGTGAAGTTGGATGTACCCACTACATTTAAGTAGGAGTCTGCTGTACTGTGGAGAGCTACATGCTGTGGAGTTTAGTATTACTCTCTTCAACAGAACAAGCTCAGCAAGAATGTGAAACTTAAGATAGTTTTGTTTTCAGCTGGATAGCTTTCTGTGGAGAGCAGAATGATTCTGTGAGACCACCACTAAACCCAACAGGCCACCAGACCCCAATCACGATCACCCTGCACCCAGCAGTCACTACGTACTTGAATAATACTAAATCCCAGCCCTCTGGCCTGACACTGAATCCGACCAACCCAGCACCCTGCTAGACAAAGGAAGCTGTGTCTATGCATGCTGAAAGGCACAGAAAGAAGAGAGGGGGTTAAATTTAAAATGATCTGTGTTCGTTACCCACACACCCGCCCTGAATAGAAAGTATTAACCCAGCTGCCTATGCATCTTTCTATCCCCTTAAAACTACCCACTGATATTGCAAAAAACGTTCAGTTAGTTCATCAGGATTTCTGAGCTGTAATCTTCTTCTCATGTCAAACAAGTCACAAAACAATCATCTCTCACATTTATACAGTTTCTAACAGTTTATGCCCTAAATTCGGTAAATGTGGTGAACACCCCTCAGCAGAAAAAATACATTTTACTATAATATAGCAACAAATTATTTCCCTTCCACACAGTAGGTATATGTATTTCACCTGCAGCTGTTGCTGTTGGCCAAAATAAGCCTCTAAAACACTCCAGGAGAATAACTTCTCAGATCCCCAATGGCTGGCTGGCTCACAGTCTGTCTACTAGATCTGATCTGAGCTGCTCTTTGCTTTAAGAAAGCAGCACGATGCAGCTGGTCCTCCTGTCCAGCTCATGTTTCAGCCATTCAGACTCCAGGGTGGGAACTGTTAAGGACGTCTCAATATCATCAAAAGCATCTGCATTCCCACAAAGCCCTGGCTCTCTTTTTCCCCTTTAAGAGGAGGAGACAAGGCAGAAAAAACTGAAAGGAAACTAAAAAGGGGGGGGATAAGATTGCATGACAACATAGTCTCTCAGTTCCCCAGATGGCTTCCCAGCAGTGCATTTACAAAACAGGAGACTCATATCAGGGGCTTGGGAGATCGTATCCAGGCCTCCGTTAACAAATCACCAACTGAAAACATATTAAGACAGTTTAGGGTGAATACCAGGGAAAGTTTCTGACAGTAATGTCTGTTGATCATGGAACAGTCTCCCAAACAACCATATTACTTGGGAAATTTAAAAATTATACTGGACAAAGCACCAGTTCACTACAGAGCAATTCTCCAGACCAGGGATAACATTTGATACCAGCTGGATAGCAGAGAGCATGTATGTAAAATGATCCAGTTTGGATTTTCTGTTGCTGCTTCTTGACATGTCACCAGAAATGTTGATGTACATGTTCCCAGCCAAAGAGTACATACAGTTTTATAAAACCCTTCAGAACATTCAGATAGATTGCTCAATAGTCCCAGTTACACACATTTCAACAGAAGGTGTCTTGTGTAATGGAAGAGACACTGTAGCAAAAACTATCCATCTGAAAACACAGTTTGAACGCGACACTGAACTCTACATCATCTTAGGCTAGCTGAAAAATGTAGGGGAAATTGCAGGCAAAACTTTTGCCACCCCACCCCACTGTTCCCGCTCTCCCCCGTTGAAATTTGAACCTTTTTGAAATTTTCTGATCAATGCTACATGAAATCAAATTTCTTTTGTATAATTAGACATATGTCCATACAGCACTCAGGCATCAGAAAAAACAGAGGAGAAAGTATGACACATAACAGGCCATCTGGTCTAGGGATAGGATTTCACTCTTCACAGGCAGAAGAGCCAGGCTATGGAGTTGCACAGGTGGAGGATTTTTCATGGATTCTTTCTTGGGATATCCTGGTCTATGATTCAGGATCTCCCATCACAGAACATACTATTACTACTACACCACGTGCTGCCTTACTAAAATGGTACTGAGTAACGCTGCCTCACTTGTCCACAAGCAGCACTATAGAACTATCCCTGTGCTACCCATCCACCTCAGTAGGAAACATTGATTTGCAAAAGTGGCGAGCACCAAACAGATCCCTAAACGTGAATTTAGGGACCTAACTTTAGGCTTCTATTTTTTAAAGTCTTGGCCTGTGATATTAAGCTTCCCCCCTAGAAGAGATGGTTTTCACCTTGTTATTTGTCACATACAATATCAGATGTCACTATAAACAAGTGCCACCTCCTAAGGTTCACTGGGTTCTCTCTAAAGCTGTATCTTTACTTGGTTTTTGCCACTCATACTATGACAGCCACCATTACACAAAAAATAGTATTGCAAAACAAATTAGATAAGAACTGTGGAAGCAAATAAAGGACAGCAGTAAGGAACTGCCCTCTATTTAAACTCTACTCATCTTGTCACACTGTTTATCCAAACTCACTCTTTGGCCAAGGTTTCCCTGTGTAAATTATGCTATCTGTATATCAACAATGCCACAGTATCAACAGAGAAGGAAGTGGGTGGAATTGCTCCTGGATACTATATATCCAGGATACTAGGCACACAGAGGCCTTGGCCAGGAAATGTTCCCAGATAGATTTGCGCTTACTGCCTCAAATTCCTTCTTCTACCTATATGATAAATATCTACCTCTTTCATTCAGAGCTCTCTGCTTTGCCTCATCTAATTAAATGAAAGCTAATCCCTTTTAGTAATCACAGCAAGAGACATACTAATAAATTAATCAGTTCAAGCTATAAGCCACATAATGTCTCCAGGAAAGTTATAAAGAAAGGTCCATGCCAGAAACCGAGTGTTCCCTGTTCTCCTGTAATAATATTTTCATGATTTTTAAAATTCACTGAAAAATAGCATATTTAAATAAAATTCACTGAAAAATAGCGTTAACTTTACTGCAGTGATATCCTCAAACAAACCAGTACTGTGCCAGTGCATGAGAACCAGTTACTGAAAATGACTGTCTTAGTTTCAATGATGTGCAGCATCAGTGGTGAAAAAAAAAATGATACATGTAACATTTCAGCTTTAAAGAAACTACATGTGGCATACAGCTCTTCCACTCAGGACTGATTTAATGCTTTGATGAAGGAAAATCATGAGAAGACAACAAACCCTTGAAAACAATATTTAAGCCTTTGTTTAGTGACAAATATTACTCATACATCCTGTATGAAAGTTTTCAAAATATACTTGAGGCAGAGAGAAGAAATTGCTTCTATCCAGTTTCATTCTTCGATATTCCAACTCTACTTTTTTGTTGATCAAGATGAATCAATATTGATATATTATATATAGTTACATACTAAAAGAATTCAAGTAGGAATCATTATTGAGGCACAAAGTTATTGCTTCAAATTTATTTCTGATTGTGCATGAATCTACACACTTTGCTAAACAGAATTAAAAACCAAGCTCTTTCACAAGGGACCATATCTACCTGTCTGTTTTCACCAAACCTAGCACAAATAATAAGCGTTTTGCCAGTTATCACCCAAAGCACTTCACTTCAGGAGAAGATTTAAGTCTTTAGGTACAAGAATTTAAACAACCAGATGTAGAATTCAAAATGTGACACCCTAGCAAATGCTAGGATTTTAGGAAGGTATTTATTTTTTACCTTGATCAATGGATTCATCTTATACAAAGCAAAAAAACTAATAATGTTAAATCATCAGATGAATCTTCCTCAGTGGAAACCCATATATTGAAGGAGGATAAAAATAATTGTATTTAAAGTAACTATTGTAATACTTGAAATTAGACAATTGTTTGAATCTATTTTTATTATTTATATCATGACTATCACAATATTGTGACTAGAATTGGGTGTCAACACATACTGGTGTCAGTGTTTAGCACTAAGCTACATATTTATTCTCCTGTATGTTTATATCTATAGTCAGGACCACAAAGCATTTAAACATATGCTGTTGTATTTGTGATAAAAATAATTGGGACTTGCTTTTGTGCCAGTTATATATATATATATTTTTTTTTTATTGAAAAAAATATACGTCCAGCATTTTAAATAGGAGTTTTATTCTTCATGGTGCCCCTTTTATGAGCTGCTTTTGTTAGTCCTTGGACCACACTACAAACAGGAACTATTTTTAGATACTTGGGAGGGGCAGACATTATGGTGATGGGGGCCATATATGTACAGAGAGATTAGATTTTATCCCTACACTCACTGGCCCTGGACAGCTGACCCTGTGTCAAAATAGTGTATGTGTCACCTCGGAGACCACAGACACCACAATAAGTTGACCTAGAATAGGGAGAGACTCCCTGAATATATTACGTCTCTAGCTGCCTTTCCTGCAGAAGTGAATCTCTTTCTATATGGAATTGTCAGGTCGAAGAACACAACGTAAGATAGTCTGACTTAATGTCTCTTCAAACACACACACACACACACACAACCCAGGACCTGTGGAATCAGGAACTTGCAGCAGCAGACCAACACTGTTCAGAAGTTAGGGGTATGCACAGCAGCTTCTTCCCCAGTCCAGTACTGCAGCATTTCAGATGCCGCTCATATCCATGTTTTCTCTCTCTATAAGCTGTCTGCAGGTTCATCCCCTGGTCTTATAAACAA